GGATATTATCAGGTTTAATTTTTACCTGATGGTAACCAGATCGTAAATTAGTTTTGGAAAAGACATAGACCCCTTGCAATTGATTAAAAAGATAATTAATCCTTGGTAAAGGATATTTATTCTTGATGTGACTTAGTTGAGTTCACTATAATCAATGCACATTCGGTTGATTCCATATTTTTTCTTTATGAATGTCACAGGAGCGCCTAAGGAGAGATATTAGAGCAGATAAATCATTTTTCTCGAAGGTTTGTTATGTTTTTTTAACTCTTCCATTTCAGCTCTTACTAGTTTATAAGGAGCAATAAAAATAGGTTGAGTACCTGGTTGGAGGTCAATAGAGAACTTTATTACGCAATCCGAGGGTAACCCTAGAAGTTCATCAAGAAATATATCTGGATATTTTCGAACTACCAATACATCATAAAAACCAATTTCTTTGTTTTTATTACCTACCACCTCAACCTCCACACGTTAGGTTTAATAATTTGTATAACTTAAATAATAATATACTATTAATAACACCATCCTATTAGGAAGTAAAAGTTTTTTCATTAAAGATATTAAATACAACATTCTTATTACGACAGTATATGGTCGCATAGTAAGCTACTAACCAATCCATCCATTTAATTATATCAAAATCTCTTACATTTAAAAGTATCAAGTCTATCTTTAGTTCCCTCTTAACTATCTCTATTATACAATTTTTATATATAACATCAGAAAGTAGTACATTCCCACCTAGCGCGGATATCATTAAAATATTCTTCAAGTAAACAGGTGTAACACTCAATCGTAGTGTAAAAATGTGTGACACGAATGAGTGTGTGGAATCAGGATCTATTAACACCTTAGCTAAATTTTTAGAAACAAGATACATACTTTGCACGACGTCTGCATTCGCTTCAGCATCCAATGCAATAAGGGTATAAACTTGTCCTCGCTTTGGAGCTTCCGTCTGTTCATTCATGAGTGGACAATTACGAATCAGATATTGTTGGCTACCACATTTGAAACAGGATCGAGTGACACAATGGCACGACTGGTTGCCATGATTCTTCCCGCAAGTACGGCAGGCTGGTGCCTTACCGAGTGTTAATGGTGGTCTAGGAGGTATTTTTGTTGTCATTTTAGGCATTTTATCTTATGAACCAAACATTGGAGTCGGCTTTCTCGGAGTTACAAAAGCTCTAGAACTGCTTGCTCCTGACGATGAACCCCTAAGTCTGCTTTCCACTATCTCTGCTTTTGTCAAGACTTCATCACAAGTACTCAGTACTAAAACTGCAAGAGGATCCTGTATTTCTGGGTGTAGCCTCCACTAGAACTTTCTTGCTCTCTGTCCTTCATCAGTCATAATTGTCGGAGTAAAATGAGTCAATTCAGTAAACCTCCGAGCATATTCAACTACTGACAAGTTTCCCTGAGTTAGCTGCATAAATTCCAGCTCCTTTTGATGTCGAAGTCGTGTAGGAAAATGCTCGGTGTTGAACGCCCCCAGAAACTGTTCCTAGGTGATGGGAATAGGTAAAATGGTATGTCTGAACTCCCACCAACCGTCAGCTTCGCCTACGAGTAGATATGTAGCAAGAATCATTTTTTGCTCGATAGTCACACCCAAAACTTTGAATGTCTTTTCAACTGCCTTTAACCATCCCTCAGCTTCAATAAAATTTTTTGTACCAACAAAAGTGGAAGAATTAAGTTTCATAAACCTCCTAAGACAATCTAGATCCATAGCTGGTGGTTCTGGACTATGTGGAGTTGGGGCTGGGGGAGGACTAGGTAACTCTTTTCTACCTTCTCTAGCCTGATCGACAAACTCCTCTACTATGTGGTACAACTGATCAATATTTTCCTGTAAGAACATATAATTAAGATGTTGCTCCGACGGAGGTCGCCTACTCTTATTTTATAACCCTACATCCAGAAAAGAACATATTAGAACATTCAAATATAATTTTTTCTACTCCTCAACACCCTGAAAATTGTAAGAAATCATGTTTAAACTCTAAAACTTTATGCACAAGGGATAATTTTAGGAAAATGAGCTCTAATACCACCTGTAGTACCCCAAACCCAATAATGAGGCGCAAGTCTACTCATAATATTATTTCTACAATGGACCCATAAAACATGCATATGCACAGCTCAAAGATTTAACATAAACCTAATATCTTATATGATATATACAGTAGTTATATATACAGAACATGATGTCAAAATTTAGAGTTCACAAAATAAACGAAAATTTCTAGAATATGAATAAAATATACATGCAATGGAATCCTTTCATAAGGTTTTACTCGTCCGACAATGGTTCTGTCTCTTCTGAAAAATATCAGGGTAAAATTTAATAAGTTTCACCAACTTAATAGGTATTTTCGTTCTTCTAGAACTCAAATAAGATGTCATGTAAAAACACACAATATGTAACAAACGCATTAGTAATGGTTTCAATACAAAATTTATTATCATTCTTACTATTTTCTAAAATAAAATTTACTTATTAAATACAACTGTTTCTGGCATTCTAATTTCACATGTTTCTAATCGGATTTCTCAATTACACTTAAATATCATTTATGGTATCGAAGTATCACCACATACACTCGAAATAACATATATACACTCGAAATGTCATCTTTAAGGTTTCATCGCACGATGTCGTTTAGGTCGTCGTCGAGAAGGGTGAAAAAGATCTCACCATCGCATGGATAGGACATACGATCTCACATTGGCCACAGCAGTCAAGTTTGTTAGATGACCCACACTCACAAATACTTATTCACGTCTAGATTAGGTTTCAAACACTATGTGCAAGTTCACCTTACCTGCTGATCTTCAGCCACACATTCACCCTCCCCTCCTCGATTCAGCTAAACGAGTAGGTATTCAGGGTTTATGGATTACTCACTCATATCCACTTCTTTTCTAATTTCTTATTTATTTTCCGTTTGTTCTATTTCTTGATTTAAATATATTTAAATTAATTTGTTTCATAATTATGATTAATTTGTTTTCCACTTTTTATTCCTTTTCTTCCGTTCATTTCCTTTTTCTCAACCTTTCACTTTATTGGTGTTTTCTTTTCACATAAACTTTTTTCCTCATCACAATTGAAACATTTATTAGTCCTTTATTTTTCTAGTTTCCCTCTCCTCATGGTTTCCAAACCAATTAAGGTTCAATTGTCATATGTCACACAATTAAATGAAACAATGTCCCATGATACAAAGACTAGAAAAATCAAGTGTCTCAAACTCATTCTTGACAGATCCCACTGCCCGGAAGATGTCCATGTTCTTTTAATCATCAAGGAATCAAGTCAGTATATGTTCTATACTAAAACACACAAATTTAAGAATACACATGCATAAACTTTTAAAATCCAAATCCAAGTTTGGAATGAGAAAATATTTACCAAAGTTCCTCAAACAGATTGTATTCCACTTGATCAACAGCCTAAAATCACTATACATAAACATAATCAGATTTAATTGACGAAAATGAATTAAACTTAAGGAAGTCGTTTTTGGTAATTACCAACAACAAGATTGTTCTTCGGTATTTGGTGAACCACTACTTTAGCTCCCTGTGTAGGTGTGGGCAATTTATTTTCCAAAATCTATACGTATACACATACGTATATACGTATACACATACATACGTATTAGTATCTGTATTCACCAAAACTGCACAACGAAAAAGGAAAAGGAAGGTCACCTAACTTCTTTCAAGCTCTTCTGCATTTGTAAGGTAGCTTGTTGGTGCATCCAAGAAGATGAAAATCACAGGCCAACTATGAGTCAGGTAGTTCAGATCCTAGAGGGGGTTTTGGTTGTTAACATCCCTCCAGTTCCCATGTCTCTGCAAGCGCTTCTATACAACGAGGAGCATATTGTCTTCTTGACTGAGTCATCCTCCAACCAGACTTCACAAGGAACAGCTAATTCTTCAACTACCCAGTCCAAGAGCAGTAATACGTAATCAAGGAGTTCATCAATCGGGAGAAGCCTAGGCAAAACCAGCTCTATGCCAATTTGGTCATCCATATATGTATGTATGTTTTTGCAATTTCTTCAAGTGAGGGTATAAAGTTTTACGAAACTCGCTTGCTTGTGTTCCCCGGAAGCATGTTTTATTTATATGTCAAAAGGGATCCTTAATTTCATTTTTGAGATCATACGTCTTTATTCTGTTTGTTTCCCCTTATGCTTATTCAGTTTAACAATATATATTAATGTTTAGTATGACTTGATTAAATCGTTATGACCATCATACGGCATACTTGATATTGGTTAATGCCAGTTCTGTAGTTACAAGCTTTGCTAATTCTGTCATCTCTTACTGTTACAAAATTGAATTTCCTGTATCACTATAGAAAGAAAATAATTGATCTTTGAAGCTGTATTTTTAGGTTTTGAGGAAATATATGATCATCAATTTACCAGGTAGTGTTATAGAAGAGTAAAATTATAAAGTTAGAGCTTATAAACAAAACAAGCATTATATCAGGAACTATTTAAAAGTGAAAGCTAATTGGTATTATGAAACGATGAGTAATCTATACAAATTGGAAGACATCTCCTCTTTACATCATATCTCAAGAGATTCTTCTAATTGAAAAAGATGCAAACTAAATTGGACCAGATGTAAAACTAAAACTCTCTTTATTTTCTTCCAAGCTATGCATCCTCCTCATGTTTCAACAATCTACAAAACAACAATAGAACACAGGCCTATTTCATTGCATTCCTCTTTCAACCTTCCTACCCAAAATTCAGTACAGAACATATTAACTCAAATCACCGAAAACTACATTAAGATTCACTTTCATCGAAGAATATCACGCAACAGAGCTACTAGTGTTTCCGAGTAACAAAGAACTCATAATCTGGCTGCCGATTAGACACCTTCACATTATTTTGTAAACTTGTCCTCTGGAAAATAGTAATGCATTTTTCTCCAAAATTTGTACTTGTTCAATGAGAAATTCAGAACCGTTCAAAGGCATAGATTCCTTTCAAAGAAGATTTGAGAGGCATCCCTGCATCAAACCAGCACTCACCCTGGCACATAAACAGCATGTCAACTACTTCATTTGTACCTTTCAGATTAATTGTTCTCCAAATGGGTGAATGGTGTTTTAAAAGGTAAGTTACGTAAATCTAGCATTGAGATAACCCATTTAAACTTGGACATAAGAATTTTGTATATAATTGTTCTTGTGATAAGTCCTTCCAGGTAAACCTTCCACTACTGACTCGATATCACTCTGAAAAATCTGACACTTATGTTCAGATTGGTTTGTTTCACATTTCATTCTAATTGATTCCTATACATAATTATTTATGTTAATCTTGGAACATAGATGAAAAAAATAATTTCTATATTTTCAAATGTAAGAATCAGAAATCCCATCCCCAAATATTTGAAGGTAGGGGTAGGGATAGCTCAAACATACAAATCATGTTCTTATCCTCTATTGCAAGACTAGTTTGAATATTCAGTCTAGGAATAGTTAGGAATAGAATAGGAGTTCAACATAATCTTACTGATATACATTCAAACCAACAGTTCGAAAAACGATATTTTAGAGACCGATTTCAGACATGATGGAAATACACAGATATGCCTAGACTTAGAAACTTCTTTGTCTTTAGTTACTTATTCAGATTCCAGCTTCTGACTTTTCAACACGAAACATGACAATTATTGTAAAAATATCAGGAGAAAATTTAGTAGAAAAAATATGCAGAAATATTAGGTGAAAATCTAGGAGAAAAAATAGGATCTAGATTTGATATTAACAATGCTAAATAGAGGAAAGTTTCCTAAGTCTTTAGAAGCATATTTTCTGTCCTATTCTTGGGAGTACTGATTTGGTATCCACCCCTGTAAATAATGTTATAGTGTAGAAGGAAACTATGAAATAAAACTTACAGCTTTCTTCAATGGTGATCTGACAAAGTTAAAAATGACAAAATTCTACCTGTGTGTTGTAGCTCTGAAGTCCTATTACAGGGGGGACAATACAAAATGCTTTCTTCTTAAGAGAATCATCAGAAACACCTCTTTGAACCAAATATCCTAATGAGTGGTAAGTCAAGAATGATGCACGAAACACCCCATCTGGAATCTGATATATTGGATACCATGCCACTGAAAACCTGAATTGAATCTTCTGGGTTTATTTCAAATTCTATAAATAACTATAGTGAAAGCTAACAACTTTCAGCACTTACCAAGATGCAGGGTGCAGATCCTGCAGTCTCAGAGATTCTAATTTTGATGGATCGCCAAAGACTTGACAATCAGATCTTCCAGCATCAATGAGCTCCACAATTCTGCATTTATCCTTACAAATTAGCCCCAAAATCTAGAAAGTATTTAAAACTTGGAGATTAAAATAAATATAGCATAAAATAAAAGAGGACAGGATACTCTTATTACTGTTGACTGGTGTCTGTGGGTAGTTGTAAGGATACAGTCAAAGAAATTTCTTCTTCAATTCATGTGCTGAAACAGCCTATATCAGCAATAGTGACCCTTCAGTAATATTTCTATATGTTCCAAGCACAAAGCTAGATTGCAGTGCCAAACACTATGAGCAAACATGTCCCCATTTTTTATAACAAGGTTAACAATCTTACTACGATTCATACTACAGCTATTTAACTAATTGCCTACAGAATGACAGTCTATTGATAAGTGCTTAAATATCAAAGCAACTTACAGAAAATAGAAGAAAAAAAAGTTCTTACTTCAAATGAAGAGGCTTTCTTTGATGAGGCTGTTTGGATTCAAAAAATTCAAAAACGAGCTCGGACTCACCCCAGCATGAGAAAGCCTCACATAAAACAAAAGGCTCCTCAAATGAGTGAACTACTTGTTCCTGCATTTCAAGATTGATTGGTTTTCCATTTTTTCTGCAACAACTAGAAAGATCACGATAGCCAAACAACTGAACAGCTGAAAGGAGAGGAACAAAATAAGCACAGAATGACATTGGTTCTGTTAAAAGCTCTTTGAAGTTATGAGAGGTTTCCACTTTAATTTCTAGGCCATAGTTTCCAGGTTCCTCATACCAGTTCCAAACAGCATTGAGAGATACATCAGGTATCTGGTGCTTACAGAGCATCATAGGTGGCTGCTGACTATCCGAGCAAACCACACATCCATCTTCTCCACTCAAAGAACCAACAACTGGAGCAGCGGCACAAAGGAATTTTTCAAACTCTGCAACTGGATAGCCAGTGACACGCTCAAAGCTCTCAGATGCTAATTGTTCTTTGTAAGCAGCATTTAGAGCTTCTGTAATCATCTCTGAGCCAATCATGTACTGGGAGGAATCTTTTGGTTTTTTTTTATCAGCTATACCATCATCTCCGTATTTGACAAAATAGACTTCTTTTCTAGCACCTGTAAATCCACATTTTCTCGCTTCACTTTCATCTAAAGTTGATTTGTCACCTGATACCAAGCTGGTACTGTTGGAATCACTTAAAGCAACAGATCCATAGAGTGTAACCCCATTTCCTTTCAAATTGCTATCACTTTTCTCTTTTGACAAAAATAACGAGCTATTGGGTAGTACATTGCAAGTACTTATAGAACTAGTTGTCCCTTTACAAGACTCCTTCAAACCAACAGGAACCCACTTCTTTGCACTCACTCCAGGAGTGATACTGCTTTTAACTTTGTATTCATTGCGAACTTTGAATCTTGAGTATAATGGCATGAACCGAAAGGCAGCATCAGGGTTAACAAATGCATGGTTCAGCAATGGTATTTTCACCCAATTGTATTGTGGACGCCAACCACGAACTGGTGCCTGAAATCTTCCTGGGTATGGCATATTTTGGTGCCCACATGCAGAAGCAGTAGGATGTGAAACCAGGCAGTAGGAACTATAGTTTACTATATGATGGCTCCCGAAGATTGGTCTTCCTGCAGCATCTCTACTCCAGTAATGGTGCTGTTGAAAAGGAACCTGTAATAGTCCCTTTTGAGGAAACACAGGTTTGCCATGGAGCTCAACTGCCCTTCGTCCATAAACCATGGGTCCTTTCATGCTAGTACTGTTGTTCCTGTCCATCGATGAATCATTTGATTGCATTTCAATTTTCTCACAGTGGTCTGTTTCCCATCTCCCCATTTGATATGACAATGAACTATATGGGGA